CACGGAGGTTTCCGAGAAAATGGCGCTAAGGCCAAGAGAGACTCTCTTTCTCTTTTTAAAGTTTATTTAGTCCATAAGTGACAGAGACACACAAAGAGAGACAGCACTCCTGAGAGGGTCCTGATACCCCCAGCCTCAGCCCGGGTCACGGACATGCGCATGCCCAGAGGTGAACTGACAACCTGCCCATGTGAGTCAGTCTCATCGCATTCCATTTAACGGGCACCACCAACTGCCCAGCCCCACCCTCTCCTGTTTATTGACCCCATCCCAACCTTCACCCCATCCTCAATCTTCAACCCCTACATCTGTGCTCTGCCCTGAGGTTTTCACAGCTCATTTTCAGGCTGAGCCCTCTTTCCTGTCACCATGGAATCAGACATCCAGTGAAGAAAAGGCCCAGTATGGGGTGAGGGGCCCTAAATGTGAAGCCCAGACATCAGCAGGGGAAGGCTGACCATCCAAAGCTAGGAGAGGAGGCCTGCAGCCACAGCAGGTGGGGGAGCCCCCTCAGGTGGGAGGAGGAACCCCAGATGGTGACAGCATGGCCCAGTAAAAGAACATGACAGTGGCCACCGCTTTGCAATTCAGAAGTAACTCGCAGAACAAGGTGCCAGAAAATCCTGAGCTTTCCAGGGGCCCGCCTCTGTGTTCCCATTCGGGTCACCTCTCAGGAGAGAGCCACCAAGCATCAGTCAGAGCTGCCACCCATGGCACGAGCCGCGAGTGGTCACTGGGTACAAGTCAGAGTGGGCGGCCAGGAGCAGAACCCTCCAAACTAGCCAAAACCCAAACAAGGAATTTTCTAGAAAAATATACAGATGTCAAAGAACAGGGGCCAGAGCTGCTGCTGTGGGCAGCAGGAGGGCCTGGCCAGGATGGACATGACTGGAATCCTGGACACCGTGTCTTAGACCAATCAAGCCTGAGCTTTGAACCATAGTAACCAAGTCACCAAGTGGCTTCCAGCACTGGAGTCCAGCAGTTTCTTACACAAGCCTTGGAAACACCGCTGTGAAAAAAAACACTGGTATCAGATATGTATTATTTTTTTCTTTTTTTGGAGAGGTTTTTGCTATAGAGCGCATGCACTCGCCAGAAAGACAGAGACAGAGAATCAGAAAGTGAGAAATCACTCCCCCGGGCGGATGGCCATGCTGCAATCCCTTCTCCTCCATGCTCCCCTAGGGGTTGTGGGCATGCATGCACACACGCCTGGCATGAGTTTAAGCCACCAGGTCCGGGACTCGAACTGTGGTCAACTACATGGGAGTCCAGCGACATAGCCATTACGCCAACTGCTGGTCCCTCAGATATATTTTTTCAGATGAGGATATTGAAATCCACCAAGAAGCAAAGCGCATGTGTTTAGCTGAGTGGCATGGTAGTTAAGAACTCACTCTCAGGGGACAGCAGATGATTAAGTCCCTGGACTTCCACGTAGTCAAACATGGTTCACGTCCTGGACCCTGTGGCTTGAAATTCATGCCAGGCCCGTGTAAGAGCGGGCCTGAGATCCCAAGAGGAGAATGGAGGAGAAGGGATTGCAGCATGGCTGTTTTCCCCTGGGGAGTGATTTCTCGCCTCCTGTCTCTCTCTCCAGAAAGTGCACTGACCCTATAGCAAAAATTTGTCTTAAAGAAAAAAGAACTCACTCTCTGAGAGTACAGGTGGTGCAGTTAAGGCGCTGGACTCCCACATTGCCTACCATGGTTTCGCTTCCTAGACCAGGCGGCTTGCGTTTTTTCTCCCTCTCTGGTCAATAATTAATTTAATTAAATAAATAATTCTTTAAACAGAAATCTCAGGCTCTGTACTGATCGTGGCTTGGAAGCCCAGCTCTGACCTCCGTAGCCTGGAGATAGGCGGCTCTAGGCCTGGGAAACGCTGGTCCACGAAGCAGCGGGACCCTCTGGCAGCACGCGCGCCCTCCTCCCAGCGCCCACCTCCTAGGGCTGTCGCGGAGCTCTGCCCAGCGCTCGCGCAGGCGCGGAGGGAGGGCTGCCGCTGGGCGAGGAGGAGGCGGGTCTCCACCTTCCCAGTCATCGGCCGGCGGTGACCAGGCGGGGCTTTCCCGTCCCCTCCGGCAGGCGCCCGCGGCGCAGCCCCCAGGGGATTCCTGGGTAGGCGCTCCCATAACCAGCCGCGGCCTAGCGGCGGGGGGGTGGGGGCGGCT